CTCACTCACTCACTCACTCACTCACTCACTCACTCACTCACTCTCTCTCTCTCTCTCTCTCTCTCTCTCTCTCTCTCTCTGTGCCTCTTTCTGTCTTTATCCCGCTCTCTCGCTCGTCTTTCTGCTCCTCCTGCTCGGGCGGGTCCTGCGCAGTGCGTGTTTGCTACCCCTTTTTACCACTCTGCCTCTTCTTGGCTTGCTTGGTAGAGCCTCAATCTGAGAAAAACGCTCCCTGCCCGCACAAGCTCTGTCAGAACCCCTGAGCAGCCGACTTCTGGAAGCGTTCCTGGGACACCACCACGTGCTTTGAGGTCCCTTTGCCTGACGAACGAAAAAAATGCAGCACTCGCGCCGTGAAAGCACTCCCCACCCCACCCAAGCCGAAGACCCATGTCAACGAAGACGATGACAAACGGGTGGGGAACCTCGACGAGACTACGGCGCTCCCACCCGCCCGCTCCTCCCTCCCACTCTCCAATCGACACCTCTTCCGCAGGCCACTGCTTCTCTGCCTCCTCCTTCGCTCGCTCGCGCGACATCTTTGCCTGCTGCCCCCCCATCCCCGCTTCCCCCCTTCCCCCCTTCCCACATGCTGCCAGCCTTGGCGATGCCCTGACCAAAAAAGACGTCTATAAACGTGAAACAAGAACGCATCACAAAAAACTAGACGAAACACTGGGACCACAACGCAATTGCGGCAGAAGTCAGTTTTCTTCGACGTGGAGTTGCGGAAGTTGCCGCAGGTGTCGAAATTGGCATCCACCGCCCCTCAACCCCAATGCCTCCCGCACTTAAACCCCATGAAATGTCTAAGAAGCGGACGTTTTTGCACTCGACCTGGTTCGCCTGTGCCTGACATTTGCGCGAGCCCACGCACACACAAGCACGCACGCACGCGCTTGACCTTCCCAACAACACCTGCCTGTGCGGACCGAGAAGACCGCTCTTTCAACTCTTTCTTCACAGCTACCTTCGCCTTCGCAGCCATCGCCTCACAGGTAGGGTCCGTGCATATTCATGTGCGTATGTACGCGCGCGGGGACACCTCTGCGTGCCGGGGCCCGCGCGTGGTCGTGGAGGTGCCGCGTAACGGGGGGCCGGTGGCTGGTGGAGGGTTTGGACAACAAAGTGCTGCGGGGGCTTTCCCAAAAGATATTTAGTCACACGAATGGCCGGTTAGGTCAGGCGATACAGGTAAGTCCAGTCGCTTGGCCTATCCTAAACCTCAGGCGATACAGGTAAGCTAATTTTTCTCCTGTCGCTTGGCCCATCCTAAACCCCAAGCGATACAGGTAAGCTAGTTTTTCTCCTGTCGCTTGGCCCATATCTTAACCGCGCACCCTCTGCGGGGATCGTGCGTCGCTCTCTCATGATAAGGCTTGTGGTATTACCGTGTGGTGAAGTGAGCTAGCGAACGAAACTCCCAATATTAATATTAAAACGGCTTACAATAAACGTAGTGCAGCGTGAAGCCCGTATGAATATTAATATTGGGCCCGTTCGCTGTGCTCTCGGGATAATTTAGTGAGTGAGTTTACGAGCGAAAAGAGAATAATATTGTAGTTCATGCGCCCATACAAATATTACATTAGGGCGCATTATTATTATTATTATCGTGAAGAGAATATTATTGTGAGTTTACAAGGAACGAAGTGTACGCGTGAAACGAAACAATAATATGAACGAAACCCGTGAGCCATAATTCTATTCATAATGTGCTCACGGGCGAGATCGAATACAAATCTTGCCCTAAACCCCAAACCCCAAACCCTAACTCTAAACCCTAAACCCTACAACTGCGGATCCACTTATGGACCGTTCCTCTTCATGCCCCTAGCAGCAAGCCTTTAGGGTTTAGGGTTTAGGGTTTAGGGTTTAGGGTTTAGGGTTTAGGGTTTAGGGTTTAGGGTTTAGGGTTTAGGGTTTAGGGTTTAGGGTTTAGGGATCTGCCGCAGCACATTGCAAATGACACTCAGACCCAGCCGTGGGGTCGAAGAGCCCAACGTCTAAGCGAAGCCATCCCCGGAATTGTTTAGGGTTTAGGGTTTAGGGTTTAGGGTTTAGGGTTTAGGGTTTAGGGTTTAGGGTTTAGGGTTTAGGGTTTAGGGTTTAGGGTTTAGGGTTTAGGGTCCGCCGACCCTGGCGGCGTGTTGGATGGGTTTGAGGAGGTGAAAACCTCCCTCTTTCCCTCCTTACCCCCCCAAAACGCGGGGGGGGGGTAGGGGGGTTCGGTGCACAATTTTTTCGTGGAGGACCGCGCCACGGTTCAGCACAGGGGGGTAGGGGCGCCCTCAGCAAAATCAGCGCCCCCATCACAGGCACCCCCACCCCCCCCCCCCACCCCCCCCCCCCCCCCAACCCCCCCCCCCCCCCCCCCACACCCCCCCCCCCCCACCCAACCCCCCCTACCCCCCCCCCCACCCACCTGTCTTTGGCTCCTGGTGCTACCCCCTACCCCCCCCCAAACGTTTCACAGAACTCTGCTGCGCAGGGATGATCTTCGAACCATGCGAGGACCTCTCCAGCGCGGTCGGCGGCTTGAGCCGGAGGCTCTTAAATTTAGGGTTTAGGGTTTAGGGAAAAGGGTCTGGGTTTAGGGTTTAGGGTGAAACGGGACAAGAACCCCAAAAGGAATCCCGCAGACACGAGGGGAAGTGGAGCGGCTGTGGCTGTCGAGCTAAGCCCCGGACCAGCTATCACGGAGCTGCCGGCCAGGATGTGAAAGATCGAATACAGACGGCTCGAATCCTGCAATCAGGGCCTGAACTTGACTACAGTTGACTCAAGCAGCAAACCCTTTGCGGGTTTAGGGTTCAGGAAGCAGGGTCTGGTTTAAGTGCCCAAGTCCCTTTTTGGAGGTTTGGGGTCCCGTGAACCAAGCTTCACCCTGAACCCTTACTATCCTCTACAGGTTGGCACTCCTCCTGAACCCGACCCTCGCACCCTCCCCCTCAACCCTCGAAAGCGTGAAAAAACAAACACACCCCAAAGCCCGAAGCCCAACCCCCAGAGCCCAGAACCCAAAACCCAACACCTTGACTATCCGTTTTACGGACTAGGGTTTGGGGCTTTCAGCCTTCGCCCTCTTTGCGGAAACCTCTGAAACCGAAACCCTACACCCGAAACTCCCCTGAATTCCCTAAACTCACACCCCAAACCCTAAACCCTAAACCCTAAACCCTAAACCCTAAACCCTAAACCCTAAACCCTAAACCCTAAACCCTAAACCCTGGCCTTGGACTCAGAGAGCAGCCCGAATCCAATCGACAGCCCACACTGCACCTTGGTCAAGGACTCCCAGAGAACAGAGAGGGGAAGGGTTTAGGGTTTAGGGTTTAGGGTTTAGGGTTTAGGGTTTAGGGTTTAGGGTTTAGGGTTTAGGGTTTAGGGTTTAGGGTTTAGGGTTTAGGGCTTAGGGCTTAGGGCTTAGGGCTTAGGGGTTTAGGGGTTTAGGGGTTTAGGGGTTTAGGGTTTAGGGCTTCGGGTTTAGGGTTTAGGGGTAAGGCTCCGGCTTTAGGGTGTTGGGGATTTGGCGTGGATTTTTGGGGATTGTGGATTTCGGTTTCGGATTTGGGGTTTGGGGCCATTTTAAGGTTCACGGTTTGGGGTTGGGCCGGGGCAGACGACATCATTGGGGGGGGGGGGGGGGGGTCGGCGAACCGAGAACCGGGATCATACATGGGGGGTTGTCAAAATGATGGTCCCTTTTTGGATCCATATTATAATACGGCATCTAGTATGCGGCATCTAATGTACGGCATCTGATATTTAAGGTACCCCAAACAGGGATCAGAATTTTGACAGCCACCCACAAAAACTCCTAAACTCCTAAACCCTAAACCCTAAATCCTAAACCCTAATATGCAGTAGAGGCTTAGGGACGCAGAGCCGGGGCCGGGACTGAGTAGTAGAAGCTCTCCGCGAAGGTCCAGCCACAGACCGTCTGGCCTCCGAGGTTGATTTTAGGGTTTAGGGTTTAGGGTTTAGGGTTTAGGTTTTAGGGTTTAGGGCTTCGGGTTTAGGGTTGCGGTATAGGGCTCAGGGTTTAGGGTTTAGGATTTAGGGTTTAGGGTTTAGGGCTTGGGGTTTAGGGTTAAGGTCTCCGACTTGGCGCCTGAAGCTTGGCACCCTAAACTGTCTGGTTCTCAGTAGGGAACTTCGGAGTAACCCTTAAAGGAATGATACGCCCTAAACCCGAAACCCTAAGCCCGAATTCCCTACTAAGAAACAGTAACTTCCGACATCGAGTGGCCGTCCACAGTGGAGCAATTCTCGATGAGGTAGTAAAACACTGCTCCTGACAGTGCTTTGAAGTAAACATTTCTCGGCGGCCAGCAGCAGAAAATGTGTGGAAAGCTACCCCCGTGCTGGCCAGGCATGTCACTTGCAAACCCCCGCAAGACAGGCATGAATAGAAAGAAGTCCTGTCAGAACCCATAGCACCACCTCGGCACAGTATGGCGCGCAGTGACCAGGACTCACCGATGTGTTTTGTTCGAACGGTCGGCTGGGCTTCTCACGATGGCCAGGCCCACAAATCGCCAGAACATCGTCTGGACAGGGCCACGCCGAACCCCGAATGGCGGGAGGCGTGCGCTGCCCCTGTAGCGACCCTAAACCCTAAACCCTAAACCCTAAACCCTAAACCCTAAACCCTAAACCTCAAGAAACGAAGTATCATATAGCCTTCAGACATGTGGGGCTGGCGACTTCTGTTGGCTCCTGGAGGCCTTGTTTGGCCTGCTCTTGTCGTTGTCTGCGCATGTGACGGCTCATCCTACACCTTGAGGTGGCAAAGCAGCTGCAACAACGCAGGCCAGGTTCATAAACAGGAAAGGGTTTAGGGTTTCGGGTTTCGGGTTTAGGGTTTAGGGTTTAGGGTTTAGGGTTTAGGGTTGAGAGTTTAGGGTTTAGGGTGCAGAAAAAAACCTGGGATCAAACTTCACGAAGCCAAGCATGCATGATCATCATCCCCATCCCCCCCCCCTGCAGCCGCAGTCTTGTAGAACTGCGAGTCATATCGCAGGCTCTTCACCAAGTTCCGATCCTGGCATTCGGCTGCGGGGTCTGGAATGGTCATGTATGCAAGTAAGGCCTCTACTTTTCGAACCATTTTGAGGCATTCCCCCAAATAGGGATACCCCTTACATACCCCAAAATGATATGATGATCTTGCAGTAGGAACCCCTGAAAAGGTGCGTTTATTTCGGGGTTTACGAAAATAAGGAAACCCCAATATAGTCACCCAAATAGTAGGATTCCCTTACAAAAAAGACCCCAGTAAGATACCCCAAACTTCGGAAATCCCCATTTGGGAAAACCATGCCCTTAACCCTGAAACCTAAACCCGAAACCGTTTCAATGCCAAGCCGAGGGGCATCAAGAATCCGCTTTGCATGCTCGTTGGAAGCTGGTGGCTGCATCTTGCAGGATCACCTTTTGGGTTTAGGGTTTAGGGTTTAGGGTTTGGGGTTTGGGGTTTGGGGTTTAGGGTTTAGGGGTTTAGGGTAGTTCTCTAAACTAGGGTCCCGTTTTGGCATCCTTTTGAAAAGGGTGCCCGCCTTATCGTGGGTATCCAAAAAGGGACCCTAATTTAGGAAGCTACCCGTCTCCAAGACCAGGAATTGCATTGGGGCATTCTCTAGATTCTCTACTCCCATTAGAACCTTAACAAAAATATTGTTGTTAATATCCTCTTGGGTTTTATATAAACAAAAATGAAAAAAAATGATTCCCCAAGGGGGATATAGGATTTTCGGGCCGGGCCAAGACGGTCGACGCACAGCGTCGCGAGAGCCCCTAAACCCTAAACCCTAAACCCTAAACCCTGAGCTCGGGCCTTCGTCGGTCAGGTCAGACCGACTACTGGATCAGTGCTTTTGTTGTTCAGCTGCAAAAGGTGTCGTTGTTGGGCTGCTGAGGTGTGTTCTTGTGCCGCTGCTGGTTCTTGCTGTTGCTCTCTATTTAAGAACACAACCTAAACCCTAAACCTTAAATCCTAAACCCTAAACCCTAAACCTTAAACCCTAAACCTTTTATCCTAAACCCTACACCCTAAACCCAACGGCTTGCTATGCATTGCCCAGTAGTCTCACAAAGCGTGCCGTGCTCTTCGGGGCTACGAGAGTGGTGTTGCCAACACGTTCTAAAGAAAGCCCTTGAGCCTGGAGACAGAAGAGACGGCAGGGTTTAGGGTTTAGGGTTTAGGGTTTAGGGTTTAGGGTTTAGGGTTTAGGGTTTAGGGTTTAGGGTTTAGGGTTTAGGGTTTAGGGTTTAGGGTTTAGGGTTTAGGGTTTAGGGTTTAGGGTTTAGGGTTTAGGGTTTAGGGTTTAGGGTTTAGGGTTTAGGGTTTAGGGTTTAGGGGTTAGGGGTTAGGGTTTAGGGTTTGGGGTTTAGGGTTTAGGGTTTAGGATTTAGGGTTTAGGGCTGGAGCGCGCGCCATCGAAAGCATCAACTCGACACCTGCCGTGAACTACCAAAAGGCTCTGGCGTGCCCTGCAGGCTCAAAGCAAACTGGAAACCCTAAACCCTAAATCCTAAACCCTAAACCCTACATCCTAAACCCTAAATCCTAAAGCCTAAGCCCTAAATCCTAAACCCTAAGCCCGAAACCCTAAACCCTGGACCCCTTTCTGCGAGATGGGCTTAGGTTTGGACATTGACTCGAATGAGCTCAAGCCTAAAAGAGACATTAATCAGACCTGCCTTATTTTTCTCAAAAAATAGCATTGATTATGGGGGAAACCGAAGGGGGAGTATACAGGAGGGTAGTAGGGTTTAGGGTTTCGGGTTTGGGGTTTAGGGTTTAGGGTTTCGGGTTTAACCTGAACCCTCAACCCTAAACCCAAGGAGGCGCGGGGATCCCGATGAGAGCGGCGCAAAAAGCATTCCCAAAGTCGCTGGCTAAGTCTTTCATTCCTGGCACCTGTTCTGGTCCTATGACTCCTTTTCTCAGCCCTAAACCCTAAGCCCTAAACCCTAAACCCTAAACCCCCATGGCAGGCTTTGCAACCCGGTGAGGTTCCAAAGCTTTGTGGTCGGACAGCTTGGGGATCAGACCTCCAGCCCTGAGCCCCAAGCCCTAAGCCCTAAGCCCTAAGCCCTAAACCCTAAACCCTATAAACCTAAACCCTAAACCCTAAACCCGAAGTTCCTTTCAAGAAACCTATACCCGCGACACGGAAGCAAGAAGCCTGGGATGAACCTAAACCCTAAACCCTAAACCCTAAACCCTAAACCCTAAACCCTCTAAGCGCCACCTGGATCAGAGGGAGCCGCGCGGGAGTGCGTCGAGGCGAGAGGGCCTCAGCATCTGGGGGCTTAGGGGTTTCAGGGCTTTTAGGGTTTTAGGGTTCTAGGGTTTTACGGTCCTGGGGTTTTAGGGTATCTCAGGGTTTTGGGGCTTTAGGGTTTTGGGGGTTTTGGGGTTTCAGGGTTTAGGGTTTTGGAGCTTCAGGGCTAAGACATATTTTCAAACCCTAAACCCTAAACTCTAAACCCTAAACCCTCTAAGCGCCACCTGGCTCGGAGGGTGCCGCGTGGGAGAGCGTCGAGGCAAGAGGGCCTCGGCATCTGGGGGCTGGCAGGGGGATTTTCGGGTTTTAGGGTTTTAGGGTTTTAGGGTTTTAGGGTTTTAGGGTTTTAGGGTTTTAGGGTTTTAGGGTTTAGGGTTTAGGGTTTAGGGTTTAGGGTTTAGGGCTTAGGGCTTAGGGCTTAGGGCTTAGGGTTTAGGGTTTAGGGTTCGGGTTTAAGGTGTTTAGGTTTAGGGTTTAGGGTTTAGGGTTTAGGGTTTAGGGTTTAGGGTTTAGGGTTTAGGGTTTAGGGTTTAGGGTTTAGGGTTTAGGGTAGGGTTTAGGGTTTAGGGTTTAGGGTTTAGGGTTTAGGGTTTTAGGGTTTAGGGTTTAGGGTTTAGGGTTTAGGGTTTAGGGTTTAGGGTTTAGGGTTTAGGGTTTAGGGTTTAGGGTTTAGGGTTTAGGGTTTAGGGTTTAGGGTTAGGGTTTAGTTTAGGGTCTAGGGTCTAGGGTTTAAGGGTTCAAGGGTAACCGGACGACCCGAAAACCCGAAAACCCTAAGCCCTAAACCCTATTCGGGAGTATTTGTGGTCGTTCAATAGTCTCCTGTGGTACATCTGTGAGTGCTGTCACCTAGCTACAGCACCGCCAGAACCCATCTGAAATGTCGGGGTACAGCGTCATCAAGGATCAGGCTTTGGGGTGAAGGTTCGGGGTCTGTCAACAGAAAGGCGCGCAGTCGCGCGCGCGCGCGCGCGCGCGCGAGTGTGAAACACGCGGCGCTGCCAGGCAACCGACCCCGGCGCATGCTGCACTCGAAAAAGGGCTGACGAGTTTAGGAGTTGCTTCTCTGCAGTCGCCGACGTGTACAACTTAGTTTCCATCGCGCTTTCAAGGGGGGTTAGGCTAGCTCGGGGGGTTTCGGGGGGTTTCGAGGCAAGCACGGTTGCAGCGGTGGGACCCCCAGGACCCTTTTTTGTGGAGCCTTGCAAAAGGCTCCATTTAAAGCCCACTTTTCGTGAGAACTGGGGATGTGCCCCCTTGTACTAACAGTCCTTAATAGGGATATTAGCACCCCCTATCATAATCCCTATTAAGGACTGTTAGTGTGAGGGGAACATCCCAACTGGGACCCTAAATCAGGGACCCAGATGGACTGATGCGGCACCACTCACTTAGTTTCTGGTGGCACTCAAAACTCTGCGGTTCTCTGGTGCTCTAGACAGGGAGGGCTGAGCTTCGTGACTGGCGGCGCCGTGCTTTTCTTGGCCTGGCAGCGTCACCCAGCAGCAACAGCCGGAGCAAAGGCAGCGGTTTTCGGGTTTACTCCGCTTACACCAATGGCCGGGAAGGTAGACTTGGGAGCCAGTGGTAGAATCCGCTGTTCTGATTCCCAAACCGTGACGGAACTATGATAAAATACTGCTAGACGGCAAAAAGCGATCACAAAATGAACGAGTTCTATGGTCCTGGAAACAAAGGATGTGTAGCAGCTTCCTGCCCCAACAGGGTAATCGGCTACCGTCAATCCGGTGTACCGACAGCGAAACCCCTTCGTGTTCCCCAAACCCTAACCCCGCAACCGGAGGTTAAGGGCCAGGGTCGAGGGTCCAGGATAGACAGCAAGTGTTGTCAAACGACTGGGAATGGGGGGGGGGGGGGGGGGGGGGGTTTACGACAATCGGGGACCCCAATAAAGACCCCCAAATAGAAAGATTCCCTTATAATCAGGACCCCAACAAGGTGACCCTAAACCCTAAACCCTAAACCCTAAACCCTAAACCCTAAACCCTAAACCCTAAACCCTAAACCCTAAACCCGAAACCCTGGATGGACGTAGGCTCGGGCAAGGAGGATCAAAAAAAAATCTTTTGGCGCTCTCGGCAGGTCCCCATCCAACTGCGGCAGAGCGGAATGGCTCAGTGGACTCTTTCACCAGATGTTTCAAGAACGGTTTAGGGTTTGGGGTTTAGGGTTTAGGGTTTAGGGTTCCGGGTTTAGGGTAAGTTTCAAGCTCACAATAGGGTTATACAGTACGAATAAGCTTCTAACTAAGGTTTTCCTCTCAATCGCAAGTTCCAAGAATTGAAGATAGTTCACTTGACTACAACACGCCACCCCCAACAGGGGGGAGCCAGTTGGCTAAGGTCTGCGGTTCACACTACGCTGGCCTTTCTGTGTCCTTGGGAGTTCCTACGAACTTCCACGAAGCCGGGCAAGTAAACAAAAGTAACGCAGTTCGACGACTAGGCACCTCGGCACGCTTGGGGAGGCTTCCAAAGCGTAGGGCTTAGGGTTTTGGATTGAGGATATAGGGTTTAGGGCTCAGGGTCTCTAATTTCAGAAACCCCGAACCCTAAACCCTAAACCCTAAACCCTATATAAACCCTAGGCTTCGGCCACTATTGACATTATTGCTTGTCTGTGAGCAACCCCTATGGCAACTATGAACCCTACCAAACCGGCCCGGAAGCCTTCCCAAAGCACTGAGGCTGCTCCCAACCCCTGCAGTGTCTGTCACTGATGCGACTTTGCGTTCTAGGAGGCGACATGGAATGGGTTCAGGGTTCAGGGTTCAGGGTTGAGGGTTGAGGGTTTAGGGTTTAGGGTTTAGGGTTTGGGGTTTGGGGTTTGGGGTTTATGGGACGACATTGAACGTCATGCTGTGCGAAGCTGAGACATACGAGCAAGGCAGCTGTCAACAAGTGAGAATTCAGATTAAGGCTACGACTTGATATGTTCCCGCTTTTTTCTAACAGTCCTAAATAGGGATTACAGTACCCCTTACAATAATTCCTACTTACTCTGACTCAACTCACGGGTGGCGGACACGGCGATGTGCACCTATATGAGGCAAATTAGTGAGGTAACGATCTCCATGCCAAGAGTGTGGGCTTTGTCCATAAACCCTA